ACTGACCCATCCGAGGCTCAAACCAGCGACCTTCTGGCTGTGAGGCGATTACCATTTAGATAAAAAACCAATGCATAAAGTAAATGTAATTTATTACACATGTCTGAGATATTAATGTTGAATACCCTTTTATCACGCGGGTTGCAGCTGGAAGGGCATCCGCTGCGTAAAAACTTGCTGGATAAGTTGGCGGTTCATTTCGTTGTGGTGAGCCCGGATTAATAAAGGGACTAAGCCGACAAGAAAATGAATGAATAAATGAATGAACACATTTATCACAATAACGATAAAAGCCCTGATAGAAGTGCAGTGTACGGATGTGGGACTGTAAATTAAACATTATGCTCTCTTCTTGCTGTTGTAATCAGTCTCATTATTTTTTTTTCCTTTTTCCGAAAGCCTTGATGACACTATCGTTGGGTTTTTCTTTAATTATTTGAGCAAATAGGAATGTAAACAAATGATTTGTTGCACTCTCCCATTCAACCCAGCCAACTTCTGCTGCTGAGAAACCTGGAAATGTGAAAATGTGTGCATACATTGAACGTGTCCCATTTTAATATCACTTACAAACTGTAAAATGTTTAAAAATCATTGTCAAATATTATAATTTGTCTAATGTCTGATTTATGCAAACTCATTTTTCAAACGGCTAACAGAAATAAAAAGAACAAATGTTTTTCCTTTAGAACTTAAAAAGTAGGAAACAAAAAAGGTGAAAATGACTTTAAATGGCTGGCAACCAGCTAAAAAAGCCTGATTATTTTAAGCTGATCACTTTTCATTAAGCCAAATAGTATTTTTTTTTTCACATAAATATTCAGAATCAGAGCCGTTAATGAGAAGAGTTCAGCGGGTCAGCAACAATCAGTTTTCTCGCTCATTTTCCCAAATTTGATCTGTGGTTGGATAAGCCAGACTGTTTCCTTCCAGCAATATTATCCACAGGTTATGTACGAGAGCTGCTCCTCTGTAATCACAGCATGGTTTGATAATGTTCTCCAGAACCAGGAGGAACTGCAATAATGAGGCTTTAATGTATCATATTGACTTCACTTTCTGTTAGTGTTGTATTTATAGCCTATTGTCTATTTTCAGGTGTAGTTTACAGATGGCATGCAGCCTATTTTTTTATTTATGATGATTTGAATGTACCTTAGGATGAAAAATAATAACAATTCACAAACAATATCTGAATCTAGGTGAATCAGAGGATCAGCAAAGCAAAATTAGCAAAAATTAGCATTGTTTCTGCACTAGGGCAGCACTGTGGGTAGCACGATCGCCTCAGAACAAGAAGGTCGCTGGTTTGAGCCCCAGCTGGGTCAGTTGGCGTTTCTGTGTGGAGTTTGCATGTTCTCCTTGTGTTTGCGTGGGTTTCCTCCGGGTGTTCCAGCTTCCCCAAAAAGTCCAAAGACATGCGGTACAGGTAAATTGGGTAGGCTAAATTGTCCGTAGTGTATGTGCGTGAATGTGTGTATGGTTGTTTCCCAGTGATGGGTTGAAGCTGGAAGGGCATTTGCTGTGTAAAAAATATGCTGGATAAGTTGGCGGTTCATTTCGCAGTTGTCCGACTGACTCTGCGACGTGTGTGTGTGTGTGTTTGTATCTGTGTGCATGTCTGTGTGTGTGCATGTGTAGTTTTAGGAGTGTGCTTCTCTCTCTCTGTGTGTGTGTGTGTGTGTGTGTGTGTGTGTGTAGTAGTGGTGTCTATATGTGTAAACACTGCTCATGAAAGTTCAAACATGATGACAACAACTTTGTTAACTCATTAAACTGGAAGATATGCATGTGAATCAGCTATGTGTGTGTGTGTGTGTGCATGTGTGTGTGTGTTTGTGTGTGTGCGCCATTACTGCTTAATAAGACTGAAAGCCACCAGCCAAGCAGAG